CGCCTTTGTATACGACTCACGTTTGTAGTATTTATGATCCAAATGAATGACTTAATTCATTGCCAAGGTAACCCAATGACGTGGGGATAACTCCGAACAACATAAATCCAAAAGTACCAGTGTCTGGAATATCCGGTTGCGCGTAGTTTCCGGATAGGTGAGGTTGTTGCGAAAATAATTCGCAACATTCATACTATATCTTAGATAGATTATGAAATATGTCACGTTTCTGCTCTGTTTCGCTTCAAGAGCAAAAAAGAGGAAGTGCGTTTTTCTGCAAGTACCGCACGTACCGCATTAGAGTTAACACTGTGTGAAGAATTTTCGCGGCTTGTTTCTTATTAGCATTAAAATAACATATTTTGCAAGATTCTGCATCCTAGTTGCTCATCACACAACTCGGGTACGAATAAATCAAGTACAACCGCTACGGCAACGCGTAATTGTAGGCCGAAAAAAGCCTTCGGCACCAAGCTAACCTTAACATTGCCAATTATAATTTCGCCTTACAGCCTTATTTCCTAGCCCGGCTAGTAATTGGGCCAGTAAATACCGCTCGATCTCCGATAAACAATGTGCGATTGATAAGTGTGTGAGAGGCGCGAGTGTGACAATTTTTATTACCTTTTTATTATTGCACATAATGGTCCGCTTGTTTTGTAACGAGTTGTGGCCGCTTTAAAAATTAACTTAAATGCGTTAACTGTACGAGTTTGATTGCTCCTTTGGCATGTTTTACAGGCGCTATATGGACTGGCGCCGGTAAAAATACGAGTAATTGCTGCTCGTCCCAGCTTTTCCCACAGGTTAGTTGAACTCTGGTTTTTGAACTTTGCGGGTTTTTATGGGACGATAAGTTTGCTTATTTGACACAAAAGGGTTAACTGCAACTACTGACTAAACCCATTTGATCCTCTTCATTCCAACTGCAACGCGAAAGTTTTTTCCTTTTCTTCACTGCATTCTTATTTCGTTCTACGTTTTCCTGATATTTAGATTTTGTGTTTTTACTGTCTATATTTTCTTCTTTTGCTAACCCAGAAGATCTATTTAAATACATATTTTTAAATACTCTCGAAGTCACGAACGTTCCAGAAAATGTGACGAAGTACCGTGTAGATTATTTCGTAATTTCCTATGGTTATCGTCCCAACTAGTGCGAAATGATGATAGTGCATTAATAAGATTCACAATAATGGGATACTTTGCTACTAGGTTTAAAAAATATTGTTGGGATTCTTACAGTAATTATAGCTTTGTTATAGATGTAAACTGCAACGTAGGACTTCCATAATGTCTAGGTTTTTTCCTTTTCTTCACCTATATTCTTATTCCATTCCACATTTTTTTGGTATATCATATTTAATAGTGTCTTTGTTGTCTACATTTTCTTCTTTTGCTAACCCAGAAACTGAAGATCTATTTTTTCGTACTCTCGGAGTCATGAAACGCCCAAAAACATGAGAAAGTAGCGTGTAGACTTTTACGTAATGAGCTCATTTCCTATGGTTATCGTCCCAACTCATGCGAAATGATGATAGTGCGTTAATAACATCAACAATAATGGGATACCTTGCTACTAGGTTTAAAATAGTATATTATTAGCCAAGGTTGCAGAGCCAAGCATTCTAGACCGAGCGCAAATTAGAACCCGAGACGCGCAGCGTCGAGGGCTCTGAAGCGCGAGGTCTAGAAGTGGCTTTGCAACCGTGGTTAATATACTATTTTTTTCACTAGTAGAAACCATAAGACAATAAACTGAAAAAATAAACGTTCAATTTTTTGACGCAACATGATTTTGTTTTAATTTCTAATCAAACTTATATCTAAATCTTCAACACAAAGAAAACCGTTTATACTTGTCGCTGAGTTAATCATTTTATCTTCTACCGTCTACCAACTACCATCCGTATACTCAAGTAATGTTTGTAGCACACATTTGTTCATTTTTTAAGAAATAATCACATCAAACATTGCGTACATAACCTCAACTTTTCTTTTTGAACCGGTGGTCGCAAAAGTTGAATTTGCTACCTCTAAATGAGTCGACATTTGCAAGCGTCATGGCTGCTAGTGAAAAAAATAGTTATTTGAACTTTTGCAGTAATTCTACTTAGCTTTGTTATAGGTGTAAATATTTATCCTTTTCATTCCAACAGCAACGTAGGACTTCCACAAGGTCTAGGTTTCTATTCCGTTCCACATTTTCTTGGTATTTCATATTTAATAGTGTCATTGTTGTCTACACTTTCTTCTTTTGCTAACCCAGAAGCTGAAGATCTATTTCTTCGTACTCTCGGAGTCATAAAACGCTTAGAAACATGACTAAGTATCGTGTAGATTGTTTTGTAACGAGCTCATTTCCTATCGTTCTCGTCCCGACTCATGCGAAATGATGATAGTGCATTAATAACATTCACAATAATGGGATACTTTGCTACCAGGTTTAAAAAAATAGATGTTTGAACTCCTGTAGTAATTCTAGCTTTGTTATAAGTGTAAATCTTGTTCCTCTTCATTCCAAATGCAACGTAGCACTGTCTATGATTTTTCCTTTTCTTCACCTGTATCCTTATTCCGTTCCACGTTTTCCTGGCATTTCATATTTGATAGAATCTTTGTTGTCTCGGATGTGGGCGTTCGATTCCAAACTTGGCCTTTCGTTTTTTTCTTCTTGTAATCTTGTAATCAAGTCCATCGGACGAATGGTCACTTTATTTTTCTCTTTTTCGGTCGCATTGTGTACCCTCTATGTTTATGACGTCATAACAATTTTTTTATTGATGAAATTACCCCACCTTCTCGAAAGGGTGAGAATACGCTCTTCTTTATTTAAAAATGTAAAACCTTCTCTAGGGCCCCAAATATATTTTTTTAGAATATGAAACCTTCTCGGGGGTCCCAATTGTCTTTTTTACAAATGTAAAACCTTCTCGGGGGCACCAAATGTTTTTTTCAGAATATGAAATCTTCTCGGGGGTCCCAATTGTCTTTGTTAAAAATGTAAAATCTTCTTGGCGGCGTCAAATGGCTTTTTTTTATATGAAACCTTCCCGGGGGTTCCAATTGCCTTTTTTAAAAATGTGAAACCTTCTCGGAGGCACCAAACGTTTCTTTTAGAATATGAAATCTTCTCGGGGGTCCTAATTGTCTTTGTTAAAAATGTAAAACCTTCTCGGAGGTCCCAATCGTCTTTTTTAAAAATGTAAAACCTTCTCGAAGGAACCTAGATCTTTTTTTTTTTAATATGAAACCTTGTCGAGGGTCTCAACTGTCTTTTTAAAAATATAATAAGACATTCTCCGGGGTGCCAAATATCTTTTTTTTATATGAAACCTTCTCGAGGGCACCAAACATTTTTTTTTTAATATGAGACTTTCTCGCAGGTCCCACTTGTCTTTTTTAAAAATGTATAACCTTCTCTGGGGCCCCAAATGTATTTTTTTAAGAATGTGAAATCTTCTCGGGGGTCCCAATTGTCTTTTTTTAAAAATGTAAAACCTTCTCGGGGGCACCAAATGTTTTTTTAGAATATGAAACCTTCTCGGGGGTCCCAATTGTCTTTGTTAAAAATGTAAAACCTTCTTGGCGGCGTCAAATGGCTTTTTTTATATGAAATCTTCCCGGGGGTCCCAATTGTCTTTTTTAAAAATGTGAAACCTTCTCGGGAGTCCCAATTGTCCTTTTTAAAAATGTAAAACCTTCTTGGGGGCACCAAATGTTTCTTTTAGAATATGAAACCTTCTCGGGGGTCCTAATTGTCTTTGTTAAAAATGTAAAACCTTCTCGGCGACGTCAAATGGCATTTTTTTATATGAAACCTTCCCGGGGGTCCTAATTGTCTTTTTTAAAAATGTGAAACTTTCACTGGGGTTCCCAATCGTCTTTGTTAAAGATCTAAAACCTTCTCGGGGGCACCAAATGTCTTTTTTAGAATATGAAACCTTCTTGAGGGTCCTAAATGTCTTTTTCAAAAATGTAAAACCTCCTCCGGCACCTCAAATGTCTTTTTTTTAATGTGAAATCTTCCCGGAAGTCCCAATCGTCTTTGTTAAAAATGTAAAACCTTCTCGAGGGCACCTAGATGTTTTTTTTTTAATATGAAACCTTTTCGAGGGTCTCAACTGTCTTTTTAAAAATATAAAAACTTCTCTGGGGTGCCAAATATCTTTTTTTTTTTATATGAAATCTTCTCGGGGGCACTAAATATTTTTTTTATATGAGACTTTCTCGCATGTCCCAGCTCTCTTTTTTTAAAATGTAAAACCTTCTCTGGGGCCCCAAATGTATTTTTTTAAGAATGTGAAACCTTCACGGGGGTCCCAATTGTCTTTGTTAAAAATGTAAAACCTTCTCGGGGGTGTCAAATGTCGTTTTTGATATGAAACCTTCCCGGGGTCCTAATTGTTTTTTTCTTTTTAATGTAAAACCTTCTCGGGGGTCCCAATCGTCTTTTTTTAAAAATGTAAAACTTTCTCGAGGGCACCAAATGTTTTTTTTAATAAGAAACATTCTGGAGGGTCCCCATTGTCTTTTTTAAATATCTAAAAGCTTTCCGGGGTGCCAAATGACTTTTTTTATGTGAAACCTTCTCGGGGGTCCCAATTGTCTTTTTTAAAAATGTCAAACCCTCTGGGGGGCCTCAAATGTCTTTTTTTAATGTGAAACCTTCTCGGGGGTCATAGTTGTAGGTTTTTCCCTTTTCTTCACCTGCGTTTTTATTCCGATCCACATTTTCCTGGCATTTCATATTTAATAGCATCTTTGTTGTCTGTATTTTCTTCTTTCGCTAACTCTGAAACTGAAAATATGTTTTTTCATACTCTCGGAGTCATGAAACGCCTACCAAAGATGACGAAGTACCATGTAGACTGTTTTGTAATGAGTTCATTTCCTACGGCTACCACCCCAACTAGTGCGAAATGATTAATAACACCCACAGTAGTAACTTTGTTACTAGGTTTAAATTGACCCTTGTATTAATTCTAGCTTTGTTGCAGGTGTAAATATGTGAATCATGGGCACTATCGACAGCGGAACGGAGACGCTCTTTTCCGACGACTCTTCGTGCGAGCTGGTGGGCTCACCGAGCGTTTGCTATGGAGACGACGCCGAAGGACAATTCGAGGATAACTGTTCGGAGGTCAACAGACTCGCACCTCCGAATATCCAGCCATTTAGCGGCGTACTGGAAAAGGTATTAAAAATTGCTTTTCTTAATAAATTTCCAATTCCCACGTCGTAAATCCGACGATTGAATGTTTAAATTATGAAGGTGAGATTACCATATAAGCGCACGCAATGCCGTTATTTTCCACATGTAAATTGTTACAATGTTTATAACTTTATTGTCGTTCACCAACAAAGGATTAATCTGACGGGTAATTCAGGCTAAACGCCCCACTGCAGCGCTGTCGTAAACGTGGACGCCGTAAGTTAAAAATGGTAATTTACTCTAAATGGCTTAAGTCACATTAACCTCAAAAGTGAATTGCGATAATTTACTTCGAACACGGCGGCCTTTAACCCGGCTCTTCGCGGTACATTGTTAAACACCAATTTTACGTTTTGGGGTGACAGAGTTTGGTTATAAAAGCTCGAAAAAAACGTTACTTATAGCGGTCAAGAATACACAAGGCACGACTTCTATGGTGGTTCAAGTTATATTTAATTTTTATTCTCGATTTGGCGAAGTTTCTTTGTTCAAATATCTTTATATTTAAAAATCACAGATGGGTTCAAACAATGATGGCTATGAATAAGTAAATAAAATCGAATGGTTGTGATAAACTATGTGTACAGGTCATTGTGATATTTAGTCTTAAAAGTCATACTTATTGGAATTCACACGTTTTATCGCACTCGGCTAACATCCGATAAGACAAATTTTATTGTTTTTTTTAACCCAAAGCAATCATTACTTCCTTGTGTAATTTTATCAGTTTGTTGAAAACCGTGAATCGGAAAAAGTACCCATAACCAGTCTCAGTGTGCAGAAAAGTAAGAAAGCTTCCTTTTATTTATTACCTGATAAATTAGTGATTATTAATTCAAAATATTATTAGTGAAATTTATCTCTTAGCAAACTCGTTTGTGATAATAGCGAAGTGATATCAGTTTCTTACGTCTCAGTATTGCAGCAAATATGAAAGGAAAAAACGGTATGTTGTTGATTGCGAAACTACTAGTTTTTATACAACCGTAAATAACTCTTAGGTGTAAAAGTACAGAGAAGAAATTAATACGAATTTAATTAGAGAATTTAATATCCATTAATCACTCAGCACAATGTAATTAATGTCAATTACATTACCTTACAAGTTAGATACTTAAGATATGAATGAACGAGAATTAACACGGTCTACAGATAATAATGATAATAACAAATAATAGATTTGATTAGCTATAGCTCCGTATGCTTTTCCTACACTCAAGATCGTTAATTATCTCTTCCATTGAAACGTGTAATCGTGACTTACGACTTCATAATGGTCTTCAAGAATAAAATATTTTTAATGAGGGCAATTAAAATGAGCAAATGGCAGAAACGAAATGCAATTGTGTCGATTAGTACCGAACGAATCGATTCGGTGCAGCGAAAATCTTCTACCGGACTGCATCCGGAATTAAAAACTTTCGAATCTTGCTTTCTTTATTAGGAGTACATAAACTTTCAACTTAATCCCACACCCGTGTCATTAATTGTACTCGCACCAGCACATAAAAACTTTAATTGCCGGCCGCTTGCACTTGTAATAAAACTAAAAACCTACAGGGCAGGATTTAGCAGATCGACGCTGTAGGCACTTTGGAGTATTACTAGCACTGCCATAATGAACCTGAATTTACAACCTGAGTAAGCAAATTTGGCATTGCGGAAGGCGTTGTAAAACAAAGCAACACGCATTGTGTTGCATTAGATTAACTCGTAGTGAAAATGTCAGAACTATATAGTACTCAAGGTACTACATTTCTTCAAATGGTGCAACAGATATTTTTATGGAGTTGACCTTTCGTTGGCCACCCTTAGTGTTCATAATTCGGTACTACGTGGGTACTGATCACCTACGTGATCGCCTCCACCGAACCACAATCGATGCCCCAAAATCGGAAACCGAAAAAGTCCTGTATCAGTAACTAAACAATCTTTTGCTTACTTAACTCTTTGGTAAGTTTTATTCCTTCATTAAAACCTCGTATCATTCTCCTCTATTATGCTATGGACATCCTCGTACGAATTTTAATGGTTTCTGTTGCGCAGCAGAAATGAAATGTTTACTTTTATTTTTGCAAAAACTGGTTTCGATTTATTCGATTTCGGTTTCGACTGAATACGAGCTCTGGTATCAGGTGTCGTAAATAAAAGCGGCCGGACGACCAAGAACGTTAACACGAGCAATTCTAGAAGGACGGGCGGCTTGGCTGCCCTGCGGCCCGCAGACCCCATACCGAAAACCTTTTTCGCCAAATAATTAATTTTGACGAAGGTGTGTACAAAAAACGTGGCAAAAAATTTTTGATGCATGAAAGTGAATTCGAGCGAGGCTTTTGTGAGCCTTTGCTCGATAGCCTTGGAAAATGGGAGGTTCGTGCAAGACGTCGTCGTAGATACGCTGCCGAAAAACGCGCTGAGTTAGTTTACGAACTGGAATTCAAGTGAAGAGTTTTTGACGGTTGCATATAATTATGTAACGAAGCATGTGACGGTGGGTCGTCAATGGAGCCGTCTAGGTGGGTTTTGTCAAATGCGTTGAGTGTCGGGAGTTGAAGATGGAATATTTTAGTACTTTCAAAACCTGGGAAAAATTTAAATATATTTTATACTTATTATATCAGTTTGGTAACTTGATACGTTAGAGGTCCTATCGTCAAATGTAAAAGACTTTCTTACAAGTTTTCTGAAAATTTTTTCTTTCATCACTTTTGGTAGCTGATATGTCGAAAACGTGTCGGTTATGAATTGGTCTCTTCTGAGAATACCTTGAATTCTAACCTATTATTTCTAATATCTGCAACTAAATTTTGGAAAATCTTTCCAATCATGTAAGAGTACAAAAAAATAGGTGTCCGTTTCTGTCTGTCTGTCTGACTGTCTCCCGTGTCCGGATTTTTATTAGCAGATAATCTCCGAAACTACTGGACCGATCGTTTTCGAATTTTATATGAGTATGTATTAGGAATATCGTGTAGATGGTCCAACGCTAACCAAAATTTGGATAAATATCCCCACCAACAACAAGATGACGTCATATTCAAAATTTATATTGGTAAATATTACTTCAATTCCATAAAATCAATAATCTTTCACATGCGGTTTATCAATCCGTGTTCAATTTTTACCCTAGACAACCAGATTTTGGAATTGAATTTTGAAACTGCAAAACCGAATGCTGTGAAATCTTGAAAACATTTTAAGGTTATCGTAATCATGGTAAATCGTTCATCAAAACTTGTTCATTTATCCCCTTTCAAAAAATTTATGACGTCATCTCAAAATTTTACCGAATATGCTTTTTCAAATAATCAAAATACTTATTACGACTGTAATTGTGGCTTATAAATGCACTCATTGATTTTAGAATTACTTATACAGGGTGACTCAAATAAATAAATTAATAAATGAGGCAATTTATTCCATTCATCAACAACTTACTCCATTTTCCAGAAAATTACAGAACTGTTATTATCAGTACTATACTGTATCTATTTTAAAATTGATATACGCGTCCTTGCTAAAAATGTTGATGACGTCATCACAAAATTTTGTAATGGAAACAAAGCTCATTTAAAACAAACGCGTCGCATGCCTCTTTACATTTACTTTAATATCACGTACATGTCCTTATTTTAACTTATAAGATTTATCATAAGAAAATAAAATTCGAAAATGAAATCTTATAATTTTTCGAAAAATCTGAATTTATTTACCTTCAACAATTTTTTGGGATCACAATTTTTCGTTTTTATTTTTTCTTAGATTTTACAATTTTTTGAGAGCATTCCATTTGTCAATGTTTTTCAACTTTGATTTTTTCGGTTTTTCAATTTCTCAACTTCTAAATTTTCCATTTTTTGTTTCAATTTTCCGATTTGCAATACATATTTCAATTTTTCAATTTCTCGATATTATTATATCGAAAAAATATATATATATATATATATATATAATTTTTTCGATTTCTCTATTTTTCGTTTCCTCAATTTTCAAGTTCTTGATTTTTATTGTTCATTTTATCACGCTTTTATTAGCTTGGGTTGTATGTATGTATGTAACGGAATCTTTGAGCTTAATTTTCATCGGTTTCTAAAAGTCTGATCATCTTGAAACTTTGCACACGTCTCAAGGATCGATGACAATGCAATAATTTGATAACAGTTTCCCATTATCCTTATTAGGACCGCCAGGATTTATAAATTCTTTTATGGATCCTGTGTAGTGGAGTAAAAGAGATAAAGCTAGCGCGCGATCTGCGCATGCCTGTAGTATCTGGTTTACTCTTCGTTGTAATAATTATAGTCTTGATTAAAATACAAATAACGGATATTAAATGAAAAAAACAAGAACGGACTTTTAATTAACTAAACGTGTGCAAATAAAATGGCTGATCGCATCTTAATTGTGTCAGTATATACCACGGTTATCTCTCTCCGTGTCGATTATACCGATCTATACCGATTATTTCTGTTTCAAGGACAATTTCTGCATAGCTTTGGTTTTACAGTCGGTAAAGAAGGAATTAATTATAATTAAAACATATCTAATCATGAATTCTCACCAACTTAAATAAAGATAACAAATTTTGATTCAGAAATACAAACATGGAGGAAAATTAACTATTTGGGGGGTAAAACTAACCACAATGATGAATTGTGTCCCGTTGGTCCGTGAGGGCGATTGATTTCGAACTAATTCCCGTTGATCGATCATACGGAGACCACTGAGTGGTTCTTTCTAGAAAAATCTAAATAAGTAATTAATTCCCCAATTTATGAATTTGTCGCAGACTAAAAAATGAAAAATAAATAATAGTTTAAAAAACTAAAAAAACACGCTTTTATTGCTAATCGAACTAAAAACTAGAAAATAATTTTTAATGACAGAGTTTAATTTTACAGTAGTAGAAGATCAAACAATCAATCATAATAAATCACCTCAAATTAAAATTATAATAAAATTTAAGTTATTAACAGAATAAT